GGCAGAGCATCTCTTGTCATTATGTATTGTTCTCTCTCACAGCCCCAATGTTTCTCCATCAGGGTCCTCAGCTTCCAGAGTGATGCCTTTCTCTGCAGATCAAGGCTTTTATTCCACTGGGATGTGAGGGGTGGTTCTGAACATAACTGTGGTGTGGACCTTTGTTCCCTCCCAGTTCCTCTGGGGCTCACTGTACCCCTAGGATGACATTTTTGATGATTTTATTGAAAACCCATTCTTTAATTTTATAATGGTAAAGGAAAGGTAAGTCTGGAAGCATTTCAGAAGTGTGTGCTCTCTGTCTCTCTCTTCCACAGTGGATTTGCAGGAAAGGAAATTTTTGTGACTGCTGTTTTCCTAGAGGAAAGATAAGAATATAGAATCCCCCTTGAGCCTGGTATCCTGCAGAATTTCCCACCATAAAGCCTTTACCACACTCTGCTTCCAGCAGTGAGATACATATTCATAGCTTCATCCTATCATAGCCTACCCTGCATGTGGCAGCCTTTGCCCCAGATCAGAAAACTCCCTGGCCTTGGTTATTCCGGCAAGAATTTGTCTCTTTCCACATGTCATGTTTGTTGTTAGTCCTACAACTTCAATTATCTCAGATATTAATGAATGTTTCCCAAATTACATCTTCTGCAGTTTCTCTGTGGTTGTCAATGTTATTGTTCTCAGAATAAACACAAGAAACTGTATTTCTCACCAAGGTACATCTTCAAACTGAGGCACAGATTTACTTGTAAGACACTGAAAATTTAATTAGTATATATTGAACAAAAGCTTAATAGACAACAATTACATGAAACTTTTTCAGTGGAATACTACCCCCATCAGAATCCATCAGTGCTTCATACACTAAACAACATGCCTGTATTTGGAAGTATTTATATTCAGTAAATAAACCAATGTAATAGGGGTAAAAACTGTATTCTTCCACTTATATAATTTCTCGGAAATAAAAACTAACCTAAAGTAGTATGAGAAGGATCAATATCTGCTTAGGAGAATAATACAGGAAGGAAATAAGGAAGATGAGCAGATGAGGTTAAGGAAATTGATTTATTCACTAACTTTATTATGATTTTGGATATATAAATATTTCTAATGTGTACACTTTAAATATATGTAGTTTAGTCCATTTCAATTATACCGCATTAAATTAACTACAAAGAATAATGAATTACTGAGAGGAAACAAGTGTTCAAAGAAAAAGTGACCCAAACCCTAAAAATTCAACTGCATCAACCATAGTCCTCTCCATTTGGGGGGTAAATTCTTCAAGTGGGAAAACTACGAATGTTTCCATGACAAAAATACTGAAACCACGAGGCAGGCCCAACTCAGCCCTGGAGTGGGTCCATAGGACAGGGGTGTCTAGTGCTGAGGAGTTCATGGTAAAATACCAAAAGTCACTCTTAACAGAGTTGAAATACTGAACACATCACAGAGCCAATCTGTGGTCCAAGGGGAGCCTCACATTTGTAACATGAAAGAAACAACGACACATACACTATGTCATCCATGCACATGTGTAAATACGAACTAAGACAATGTATGACAAGTATATATCATGTGAAATCTCACAATAAGAATCCATATTTTATCAAATATTACTCTTCTCATATTCCTGCCCCAGCACACTCTTACCTGCTCTGGGCCCTGCCCTCCCTCAATGTCCCAACCCCAGACCTCCTATATAGTAGGAGAACATGCAAATAGGGCCTCCCTCTGCTCATGAAAGCCAGCCCAGCCCTGCTCTTGCAGCTCTGGGAGAGGAGCCCCAGCCTCGGGACTTAAAGGTCTGCCCGCTCGCTGCTCAGGACTGAAGACCGACGACCAACCATGGAGTCTGGGCTGAGTTGGCTCCTCCTTGTTGCTCTGTTACAAGGTGATTTTCAGAGAACTGGAGGGTCAGAGTGTGTGAATGGATGTGAGAGAGAGAACAGAGAGTGTGTGTGGAGGTTTCCGACCAGGTGTCTCTCTGTGTTTGCAGGTGTCCAGTGTGAGGGGCAGCTGGTGGAGTCTGGGGGAGGCTTGGTCCAGTCTGAGGGGTCCCTGAGACTCTCCTGTGCAGCCTCTGGATTCACTTTCAGTGATTTTACATGAGCTAGGTCTGCCAGGCCCCAGGGAAGGGGCTGGAGTGGGTCTGGGGCATTAGTAGTATTGATGGTACCACATACTACACCTACTCCGTTAAGGGCTGATTCACCATCTCCACAGGCAACAGCAGGAACACTCTGCATCTATAGAATAGAAGCCTGAGGTCTGAGGACATGGCCCTCCAGGGAGGAGTCAGCAGTGTGAGCCCAGACACGAACCTCCTGAGGGCACAGGAGTCCACCAGGGGGCGCCTGGGACCCACAAAGCACAAACAGCCCAGGGCAAATACAGGTGGTGACTAAGAGCTGGTTTCCTGCCAGGATCTGGGACTTCCTCTCCATGAAATACTTTCTTTTGGGGAAATACTCTGCAGTTAATCAATCCTGTTAATTCTGCATCAATCCTGTTGCAACAGTTGATGTGTCTAAATACAATACAGTATTTATGGTTTGGTAACGTATGGACTCTTTCCACTGGCACAAAAGTCACAAAATCACTTTATTGGCAAAAATGACACTACAGTTTTCACCAAGAACAGTGTCCAGAGGAAGTTTAAGGGAATCTCATGTGTCTTCAGTCACATTCCGGGCACAGTGCTCAGTGGGATTTTCTGATTAGGAGCAGTGGGAGCTGGGACAGGGTCAGTGCACTGGAAAGTCTGATGATTAGAGTCTGTCTGTCCTTCCCCTACTGTATAACTGTACATCTGATTCAGAACTGACCCATTTGTCCTCTTTTCTGCTAATCCATTTTTTTCTTTTGTCTATAGGTTTCACTATCTCAACTCCCTTTTCTCCATGTTTTTCCTGAAAATGGGTGGGAGGGTACGTTCTGTGTTCTAGATCCCTGGGCTCAGGACCTTTACCCAAACCTCAGGCAGGGCTCAGGCTTAGGTCCCTACAGGACCTGGGAAGGGCTCATAGAACTTTCTCAAACCTTCTGCTTCCCTAGTGACTGAATTCATGACCCTACCACTTATGACACGACAGCCAATATGTTGAAAGACCACATTCGGGGCAAGGAAAGTGATTTACTCAGAAAGTCATCAAACCAAGAAGATGGGAAAAATTGCCTTAAAGAGACTTCTGAAGGTGATGTGAACTTCAAGATCTTTCCTCTGTTAAGGGAAAAGGGGAGAAGAAAGGGTTAAGGTAAAGGGATGACTGACAGTCACAGACATCTATCTGCCAGCAAGAGTCTGAGAAGGTTGTAAAACTCAGTTGATTTTGCTCAGTTGACAGTATTCCTGTAAGCCTTTACCATGAGACTGTTTGTACAGGTTTCTTATTTCAACAGGAATTAGCTTCAGGACTGGGCTTCATCATTTATTTTTCAAAGTTGAATTATTAGCTGGTATACGTGAAGATCTCAGCAAAAGCTTTAACCTGAAGGCTATATCTATAGGGGTCAGAGTAAAAGTGGATCCAGTCAGGATAAGCCCATTATAGTCTTACCATTTCCCATGACCAGACATTTTCCCACCAACTTGTGGGTCTGGAGACAGAAAGACATCATCTCTTAGCTGGTCACTTCCTACTATAAGAGGTCTCTTGAGCAGACTATGGAAGAAAAGCGTTTGACCTGGCTAGGAGAATACACTTTTGTGCCCTTTAAGAGCAGTGGTCACAGGTGTCTCTTCTCATGCTCTGACAGTTTCAGGTAGCCTTGCATAACTATTGGTCATAACACATGAGTTTTGCTAGTATGAAGGTCACCATGTCCAGAGATGGAACAGTAAGGCCTAACTAGGAATGTCTCCTATGAGTGAAGGAATTCTACATGTAATAGGAATCCAAGGAAAGACATCTAGGAGCCAGTATCTGAAGGATCCCAGATTAAACCTGCCCTGGTGCTTTGAGGTCTGTTGAAGGCAAGTGTCCTGTTGTCTGATTGTATTAATACAGGATCTAAACTGGAGGAGGGCTGAACAGGGGTGTAGGAGGGGATTGGTGACCACACAGACTCCCTGCTTTGTAGGCACAATCCAGGGTAATGTGAGGGTCAAGTGTTACCTTAACAAAGGAGTCTGATGATGTTGTAGACAGCAAGGGCAGAAACAGTTTATTCGTGAAATATTTACACTTTTAGTTGCATCTCTTAATATGTGTTGATGGGCAGCTCCAATCTCTATGGCTAAGAAACCATAACCAAAGAAACATCGACTGGTATTTCCCCCAGAAGGCCTCAGGCTACTCCCCAGAAAAATTTTAGGGAGATGGTCCAATAGGCAACTTCTGACAATTAGCAACTTTCTCCACTGTCTTTCTATTTAAACAATCTTCTGACCAAAGAGTCCTTCCATTGTCCACATAGACAAACATTTTCCCAAGGTTGTACAAACAATATCTGCTCCTATCTGAAGGTTTGCAGAAGCATTTTGGGTAAAATAAAGTTCTGTTTGTTGAATCAGAAGTCTGGGTGAGGGGGTTGACCATTTCCCTCTGGCAACTGGCTGTCTGTCTCCATTTGAGGAGTTAAATTATTTATTAATGGTTAAGAATAAGGGGGAGGTTCAGAAAAGATTGAAGTTTGAGTCTCTAGAATAGGTGAACCAATTAGGGAGACAATTTGGCCAGTAGAAAGGGCACCTGTGGGCTTGTGGGTCCTTATCATTACTTTCCACCAGGGCCTGAGTAAGAGAGAATCATGGGGCCTCAAAGGAAAGAGTTACAGTTGATGCACAGGTGGTCTGATAAATTGGTTTCTCTAAGTCTAATGTGTAAGAGGCGACATGGGTACAACTGAACACAGCAGCAAACATAGGGTCAGATTGGCCATGATCTTACTGAGGCCAATCATCAGGGGCCTATCCCAGGCCTATCAGCCGTGGGATAGGTTAGGGAGGGGTCAATAGAGTGAAAGATCATAAGTAAAGGGTTGTCTTTTGGGTCCAGTGAAAATCTTCAAAGGACAGATGGTATCCTTGTCACCATCAAGCCAATGGTGGTCATTTCCATGTCACTTATCCTCTTCATGACAGAGCAGCTGCAGGTCCTCCAGGGCTCCTGAGCCCATGGTCTTCCTGCTTCCAGAGATGGCAGGAGTCTGCTGGATGTGCCTCTTAGACCTGAGTGTGCTGAGCCCCCAGCTTTAACCAGAGAGTTTAACTGAGGAGTGAGGACGAGACCAGCATCTTAAATGACCTCAGTTCCCAGGCACAGTTGATCTTTAGGCCTTGTTCTGTCCACTTCTGCAGGACACTCAACCACTTGTCCAAAGAGGAGGTCCAGCCCTGTCTGTGAAAGAGTGGTCCTGCTGGAAGCAGACTCATGAACAGAGGTTGGTACAGTGCCTGGAGTCATAACACGTTTGGCAATGGTAAATCTCATCATGTGTCGGTTGGTTGTTGCACCAAGGCAGGAACCAGGACTGGCCTTCAATGTAATATTCTAAAGCAGCTCAAACTTAGTCTGCCTTTGGGAGCCACTCTAACCCACAGAAGGGCAACTGGCAGCATCTCATCCCCAGTCAAATAAGTTTCCTGATGTATTTTGGCAATGTGTCTTTGTAAAGTGTGATTCATCTCTTCAATATGCCTCACCAGTGCAGTTTCAAGAGGAATGTAGTTTTCAGCTATTTTGTAATGCTTTGTATGCTTGTTCAGTAATGTTGGAAACAAAGGAGGTTCGTGATAATTATCAAGGTTATTGGCAGAGTAAAATTGTAATTTCCACATTCACCTCAGGTGCATTTTTCCTTTATTTTCTCCTGTTCATGAGGTATTGTTAAATGTAGTGTGAGATGAATTGGTTCTCTTATCCAGTAGTTTCTGTGCATGTGCAGAGGTCTTGAGCACAGTAAGTTTAGTCACCTCCAGACACAAATGCTACTCTGACCAAGAGAAAGAGCTGAAACTTCCCTGACTGCTGAGTCTGAGGTGGGAGCTGCCCTGCCCACCTCAGTGCCTATAGAGACCCCAACTATCATTGCAAATATCAAGTGTTGCTCCGTGTGCAGGGAGCTCAGACTGCCCCCTTTGCTGACAGTGATTCAGATCTTACTGTGGGGCTCGGAATCAGGACAGTTGAATTTTATTCTGATTATTTTCTTCCTCAGAGATACAGGTGATAATTCAATCTCCCTCCCCCGACATCTGTTTTTCACTCTTTATTGTTGCATTTTTGGGGAGAGTAAATTGCTATATTTTTGCCTGAGTCCACATTCAAAACCTACTGAATTTTTTTGGGAAAATCAGAGATTGAACAAAAGTGGATTTAACATTCTCATCAAAATATGAGTGCTGGGAAATTTTAATGGGTTGTCCTGAACATCAGCAGCTGTACTTCTCAATTCGCTTTGAAACACATCTGTGTTATAATGTTTTATAATCATTCCTGTTCTCTTTATAATTTTTGTCTTTACAGTTTGTTTTGCATGATGTCCAATGGCATTTCTTCAAGCCCAACTTCACCTTAAGGCTGAGACAACTCCACTGCTGAGTGTGCACAAGGCTCCTTCTATGCAGAGCACAGTGCTTCTGACGGTCATGAAACTCCATCTGATATTAATGTTTCCATCTGTCACCAGAGTCACTGTCCAACCCTGTGGTCTTTCCATGTTCTCATGTAGAGATTTTAGTAAATATTCTCATTAATTAGATAGCTCTAAGTGCTCTGTCACTTACAGTCATATTGAGATCATTTGTCTACTATGGCTTCAGTCTTTCTTTCTGATGCATCTTATAATAACCAGACATGCTGTGCTGGACAGTTGATGTTGCCTTGTTAGTTTTCTGGATTTTTTTTACAGGCATTTTCTGCCTGTAGTTTCTCATATCCTATCTTTGCTAGGCACTTAGTGTACAGCTTCTTCTGAATCTTCTCAGAAGTATCTCTGAAGTCTAAGTTTGCAGTGGCTACCAGAGATGAATATGTTCCTTATGGAACCATCAGAGACTTCAGATTCCCCAGTGACACCTTGTCTCTGCTCTCTGCTTGGCTTCATGTTCTCCCCTGTGCTCTCCTGCAGAGGCTCTGTCTGTTCCAGCTCTTCCACACACACTCCAGTGTAAAACTTTCCTGAGAATTGTCAGGGTGTGGAAAGGCTTGAAGTCAGAGTCTCTGACCTTCTCTTGAGCTGTAATTCTAGGTGAGCATTGGGACCTGGGGTCTGGGTGCTGCCTCCCAGGTGCTGCTGTCTCTGCTCCAGGTGAGCTGATGGTCCATGTCTTCCTGCCCCTCTTCCTGGGCATGGTGTCTCTTGTTAGTATTTATTGTTCTCTCTCACAACCCCAGTGTTTCTCCATCAGGGTCCTCAGCTTCCAGATTGATGTGCTTCCCTGCAGATGAAGGCGTTTATTCCTGGGAATGTGGGGGGTGGTTCTGAATATAGCATTGGTGGGGACGTCTGTGTCCCTGCCAGTTCCTATTGGGTTCACTGCCCCCAGGATGCCAGAATCGATAATTTTATTGAAAATAAATTCTTTATTTTTATAATGGTAATAAGAGAGGTGAGTCAAGATGCATATCAGAAGTATGTGCTCTCTGTCTCTCTCTCCCACAGTGAATTTTGGGGAAAGGGACATTCATGTGACTGTTGTTTTTCTAAAGGAAAGAGATAAGAGGATAAAAACCCTCTTGAGCATGTGAGCTTGAGAATTCCCCCCATTAAGCCTTTACCACACTCAGCTTCCAGCAATGAAAGACACATTCAGAGCTTCATCCTCTCACAGCCGACACTGTGTGTGCCAACCTCTGCCCCAGATCAGTTAATTCCCTGGCTTTGTTGATACCTGCAAGAACTTGTCTCTCCCCACATGTCAGGTTTGTTGTTAGTTCTATGACTTCAATTATCTGAAGTATTAGGGAATATTCCCACATTGCAGTTCTACAGTTTTTGTGTTGTTATAAGGATAAAACAAGAAACTGTTTTTCACCTGTGTACAACTTCAGGATATGTGAGAGACTTACTAGTTAGATGTTAAAAATATAAGAGTTACATATTGATCAATAGCTAAATAAACAATAATTACATTAAATTTCTGCAGTGGAATATTACTACTCTCATTCGAATTCATGACTGTTTCATACACTCGACCCTATGGATATATTTGCATATATATGTTTAGTGAATAAGCAAAAGTAATAAGGGTAAAAACCATAGTATTTCATTTACATGAATTGTAAAAAATTATAACTAACTTAAAGTAGTATAAGAATGATGAATATTTGCCTAGGGAAATAATGGAAGAAGGAAAAGGGAAAGAAGGAAATATAGAAGAACAGAAGATAAGGTTGAAGGAATTGATTTGTTCACTATCTTTATAATGACTATGGACGTGAAAATACTTATACACTTTAAATATATGCAGTTTACTCCATATGAATTATACCTTGTTCAAGTAATTACAATAATAATAAAACACTGAAAGGAAAGAAGTGATAGAGAAAAAAATGACCCAAATCCAGGAAAATTCAACTCCATCAAACCTAATCCTCTCCATTTGGGGGTTAAACTCTCAAAGTGGCAAAATTACAAATGTTCTCACTACAGAATTATTCAAACCTCACTAGGCAGGCCCCACTCTATCCCGGAGTGGGTTCATGGGTCAGGGGTGTCTAGTGCTGAGGAGTTCAAGCTCAGATACAAAAAAAGTCACTCTGACCACATGTGAAATACTGGACACATCACAGAGTCCCTGTGTGTTCCAGGGTGAGTGTGACATTTGTAACATGGAGAAATCAAGACACCCATAACACATGATCTGAGCAGTGCACATATGTAAACATGAAATAAGACCCATGTATGATAATTATTTCTCACATTATAATCCCATAATAAGAATTTTTACTTTATCAAGTGTTACCCAGGTCATATTCCTGCCCCTGCACATTCACCTGCTCTGAGCCCTGCCCTCCCCCAGTCGTCCCACCCCAGACCTCCTATATAGCAGGAGCACATGCAAATAGGGTCTCCCTCTTCCCATCAAAACCAGCCCAGCCCTGACCCTGAAGATCTGGAAGAGGAGCCCCAGCCCCAGGACTCCCAGGTCTGTCCACTTGCTGCTCAGGACTGAACACAGACAACCCACCATGGAGTCTGGGCTAAGCTGGTTTCTCCTCATCACTCTGTTACAAGGTGGTTGATTGAGAACTGGAGACTCAGAGTGTGTGAGTGGAAGTGAGAGAGAGAACAGAGGGTGTGTGTGGAGGTTTCTGACCAGGTGTCTCTGTGTTTCCAGGTATCCAGTGTGAGGTCCAGCTGGTGGAGTCTGGGGGAGGCTTGGTCCAGCCGGGGGGGGGGGTCCCTGAGACTCACCTGTACCATCTCTGGATTCACATTAAGTGGCTACCACATGAACTGGGTCCATCAGGCATCAGGGAAAGGTCTGGAGTGGGTCTCACTCATTAGTACAAGTGGTAGCACATACTACCTGGACTCGGTGAAAGGCCGATTCACCATCTCCAAAGACAATGCAAAAAATGCTGTGTATCTGCAAATGGACAGTCTGAGGACTGAGCACACAGCCATATATTATTGTGTGAGGGACACATCGAGGGGATGGCAGTGTGAGCCCAGACACGAACTTTCTGGTGGCTGCGGCCCCCAGAGGAACTCATCCCCCAGCTCGGGAGCAGGTGCAAAGGGAAGCTGAGGTTTCCTTCCAGCCCCTGGGGTTTCCTGTCTTCTCTATCATTTATCATCATCACAACTGTTAGTGATTTCTGGTAAGGCCTTGGCTTCTTACATCTGAAAGGGAATGACTTGGAACCTAATTTCAATAAAATTTAAGACTTTTTTTCAGTTATCTGCTAGATACAGACTATCATTAAAATCTTTGCAACAAGAAACCATCCTCCTTCCATCCACACTGTAGTTTCTGAGAAGGTTTTGTGTTTCCTACACTGCGTTTGTCATTCAAGAGAAAACATGTCTCTGAGATGACTCTGTGTGTCTGGGAGTTTGATTTAGCTCCTGCCTCTTATCTGAGTGGTGTGGGGAGGAACCCTAATTTCAGTGTGTCTTTCTCCCCACTTGGCTCTGGCTGTGTGACCTCAGGTGATTCCTCC